CCTTTTGGAGAGCTTCGGTCTCCATGTGGGCAATTCGATCATCAGCTTTGGATTTGTTGTCTTCTTTGGGCGATCCACGGCTTCGAACTTTGATTTGCCTTGCTGCCTTTTGGAGGGCTTTGGATTTGATGTCGTTTTTGGACGATCCGTGACTTTGATCTTTGGTTTGCCTTTTCCGCCTTTCGAAGAGCTTTGGCCTCCATGTGGCGATTTGATCATTGACTTTGGACTTGATGTCTTCTTTGGACATTCCATAGCTTTGATCTTTGGTTTGCCTTTGTCGCTTTTGGAGGACTTTGGTCTCCGTGTGGGCGATTTGATCATCGGCTTTGGATTTAATGTCTTCTTTAGACGATCCGTGGCTTTGATCTTTTGTTTGGCTTTGCCGGTTTTTGGAGGGCTTTGGTCTCCGTGCGGGCGATTCGATCGTTGGCTTTGGATTTGATGTCTTCTTTGGATGATCCGCGGCTTTGATCTTTGGTTTGACTTTGCCGCCTTTCGGAGGGCTTTAGTCTCCGTGGGGGCGATTTGATCGTTGGCTTTGGATTTTATGTCTTCTTTGGACGATCCGTGACTTTGATCTTTGGTTTAGCTTTTCCGCCTTTCGGAGGGCTTTGGTGAAGAACGCGATGAACACCTCGAAGCTTTGGGATGAACTTTGGATGCTCTTCCTTGGCTTTGATGGATTCTTCAACGGCTTTTGGAGCTTTGATCCTTGAAGAGGTGGATTTGGTGCTCCATAACACTTTTGGCGGCGTGTCCCTTTGACTTTTGGATCGAAGAGGGCCAAGTTGATGCTTTGGTGAAGAACGCGATGAACACCTTGAAGCTTTGGGATGAACTTTGGATGCTCTTCCTTGGCTTTGATGGATTCTTCAATGACTTTTGGAGCTTTGATCCTTGAAGAGGTGGATTTGGTGCTCCATAACACTTTTGGCGGCGTGTCCCTTTGACTTTTGAATCGAAGAGGGCCTAGTTGATGTTTTGTTGAAGAACGCGATGAACATCTTGAAGTTTTGAGAGGAACTTTGAAGACCTTTCCTTGGCTTTGACGAATTCTTCAACGGCTTTGGGAGCTTTGATCCTTCCTCCAGCTTGGGCATACGACGAAGAATGTTTAACTCCATCGATTCATGAACCAATATTGGATCATTTGTCCAAATCAGTGACTTTCGACAAAGAACGTCTCGAAGGACACGAAGAACATGAAGAACAATACATAAAGAGTCTAGAAACTTACCTATTTGCTTGATGAATCCTCGATGTAACTTCGGTGTCTCAAATGAATTGGCCATGACTCCTATTTATAGGGGAGGGGTGACCTCGGCTTCCTTTTTGAATGATGCCATGTGGCGCGTCCTGATTGGCCAACAGGAAAATTTATAATTTTTCATTTTCCATCAGATGATGTTTTCCATTCTTGACATTTTTAATTGTGCATCTTTCTTTCTTGCCAAGATCTTTATATCATTTCATTTTTCAGAAGATATTAATTTATATACTTCCTTTATTGATAAAATTAATTTATTCTACCGCCAAATTTATTATGGCTCTATTTATGCACGTAATATTTGTACGATATCTTCTATTTTAAGAAGATTTTTGCATTAATGGTTAATATTTATTGTAAAAAAAATTAATATATATGCATAATTAAACACCACATATTTATTTTATTTGAATTTTATTTTCTTCCAAAATATCTGATATTTATTTTAATTTAGACGTTTAATTTTTAATGCCTACCGTTAGTTGGTAATATTTTTGAAAATTTAGTTAGAAATTAAAATAAATGAAGAGACAGAATATAATAAAGTTAGCGATATTTGTTGTAAATAAGTGTTGAATGTAGGATAATAATTAAATGTTGATTCGTTGACCTGCCAAAATTAGTAATGAGATAAATTTAACGAACGGACTAAAGAGAAAAATAAGAATAAATTTGACGAACGGAGGGAGGAAGTATATTTTTTAAGTAATATTATCCGCAATATATCCATATTTATAATTTTCATAAATTTCCGCAAGTATATAATTTATCATTAAACAAAATATAGTAACTAGTTCTATATTATGAACAATATTTATTTACCATTTATTCTTATTTATTACTTTTGTAATAATAGTAAAATAATAATATGATCAACCATACATTCCTATTTATTATTATCATAGATTGTGTAATTCTTTAATATATTTTATTAACAAAAAGAAGACTTAGTAACTAGTATAAAAGAAAATAAAATTATGAATCATATTTTTTATTTATTACTTCCTTAATTTTGTATATTTAGAAGATATATTGTTAATTATTTATAATTTTTTTTTCTTTTACTCAATAGCATATAGAGAAATAATTAATCACATATAATTGTATTTATTATTTTCATAATATATTATGATTATATAACTATGTTTAGTAAACAATATATATATCTACTAATGATATATATACATATAAAATAATATTATCTATCATATACTTGTCTGTATTATTTTCATGAAATTATGTGGTTACGAAACTTAATATATTTATGTGGCATTTGCAAGTTGTGGAATTATGTGAAAAAAAAATATAAAAAGATAATATTTTATATGATATATATTTTTTTCGGAAATTTTCTACAAAAAAATTCTATATTTTATTTCTCTTTATTATGTATTGATAATATATTATATAATTTATTAAAAAGATAACTAGATTTAACATTATAAAAGTTTATAGCTAATATTCGTAACAGTTATAAAAAATATATTAAATTTATAAATCATTAATAATATTTATTAAAAATTAGAAAAATATATTATTTTCGCAAAGTATATTTTTTGGAATAATGTCTTATGCAAAAAATTCATGATAACTAAAATAAAAAATAAAAATATTGTCCCAAAATACAGTGTCAAATTAAAGTAATAAATAAAACATTGTCGCGGCCAACCGCAACAATATGTAAGGTGTATTTTTTATTAAAATTATTGTGGCAAACAACTGCAACAATGCATATAGAAATAATTATTTATTTAAAACTATTGTCACAGAAAATTGCAACAAATTTGGAAACAATATATTTATTCCTTATTTGTTGCGGACAACCGCAACAATGCATTGTAAATGATTTTTATTTAAAACTATTGTCGTGGAAAATTGTAAAAGAAATTGAAAATAATAAAAAATTATTTCTTTTTATTGCCGCTTTCGCGACATATAGGAAAAATTAATTATTGTAACAAGGATTGTTGCGGAAGTCCGTGCCAATTAATTTATATATAACTTTTATTAAATTTTCAATAAAAGTTGTGACAATAGATCAATCCGCGACAAATTTTTCGCGACAATCCCATAGTTTTCTAGTAGTATAATGCAGCATTTTCTTAAGAAAATCGTTGGTGATTCGATCGTTCTGGCTGCAAAGGACCCTCAGAATGGTGTTTGGGTCTAACCGGTTACAGTTCCCGGTGGTTGGAGGTACCGCAATTTTATGCTTTCGGTTTACGATGTTCATCCTGTAGCTTCCCTTCGTGACGCTGATGAAATACTCGATGAGTTGCTCCGTCGACTGCCCCATTAGGCCTACGACCTACAACACCTTGTACCACCTTGACTTCCCTCTCCACGGTGTCTTCGACTATGAGACCTTTGCCGCACATGCAAATCAGTCGCTTTAGGGAGTCGAGATCCTCCTCGATCATCGGATGATCCATTTGCGAGTACATCCTCGAGCTCCCGCCCGTGAGAGGATTTGAACGAAGGCCTTGAAGGAGGCTTTAATTTCATATAATTATGTTTGTTGAATTTTCACCGTATGTACGTTTTTCTTTTTATGGGTTTTGTGATGTTACTCCACAACCTATTTGCAAAATAGAAAGTTTACTATGATGTCCATTGCATGAATTGTAAAACTCTAGTTCGCATTTCACTATCAAAATAATGTCTATTTCTAGCGGAATTGAATCATTTACAAATCCTTATTTTCTGTGGCAAAAAATTATTTGTGATGATTTTGTTGCGAATTTTAGCCGGTATGTCTACTCGAATAACAAAAAGTATGTGTCGCTACAAATGTTGTAACAAAAGAGGAGTGGTCAACGCTTGTGAGAAGACTTTCTGTTACGATTTTTTGTCCGCGACAAAAAGCAGAATCCTTTTTGTAACGTTTAATTGCCATAACAAATGATGCGGTATAAAAGTTTTTCTGACAGTTACAATACTTTTCGTATCGATTTTTATTACGGGTATTTGTCTGTGAAAAAAATTAAAAATCTATTTGTAACGAAGCATAGTCATAACAAATAACCCGTTTCGAATATATTATGACATGCACAACATCTTTTTGTAATGATTTTTATATCATATTTCCGTGACAAAAAATTGATCACTTGTCCGTTAAAATAACATTTTATAAAAACCTGAATAGACAATTATAACAATTTTTGTAATTAATTATATTTGTATCACTCGCATATGATCGATCATTCTCCACATAATTAAAAAAATAAAAATCGATGAATAATGGTAAATGTTACAAAGATATCCATACGTGTAGAATCCAAATCTTATATACTCCGTTCATCGATTTGTATCTATCCATTTGCCTTCTAAACTATTCTAAATTTTAGAATATTACTACTATATTATAGGTTAGTAATACAATATGAGGATAGAAAGTCATTTTTTTCTCTCTAATAACCATTATTTTACTTTTTTTTTTACAGCATTCTTATAATATTTTCTGAAGTAAATGCATTATGTATTTAAGCTGAAAATATAGTTATAATAAAGAAAACTGATGAATTGATTATGGATATACTAGAATAACAAAATCAATAAATTGATAATGGACAAAGAATATAAGTTGTTGCTTTGTTTACACACATAGCTTTAAAATTTCTAATATTTTACATCAACAATAATTATGTTTCAAAAATATTACGTTAAATATTTATTTTATCTCATAAATTATAACATTAAATTTTTACTATTTTCAAATTTTCTTTTCGAGACTCCAGAACTCCCTCCTTTATTCCTCGTAAATTTTCATAACACAACTATGATACATTGATTCGAAAATGTAATTATGCATAATGTAGCTAACTTGGATCAAGTGAACTATGGAGCATTAGCCAACAAAGGAACCAAGAAAAGATCATTCTTTCGGGACACGGTGATGCCCGATCCCTCGGTCATATCAATCTCATTCTCTTCCATTCCATCGGGCATTCTCCAATCGAAGTGGTAAAGCAGTCGAGCCAAAGGCAGCTCGACGTTTGCCAATCCGAAATTTATACCGGGACAGATCCTTTTCCCAGTCCCAAATGGCAAGTAATCGAAGTTGTTCCCAAAGAAATCTCTCGAACTATCCTCAAACCTTTCCGGTTTAAACATTTCAGCCTCGTCCCAATACTCGTGATCCCTTCCAATCGCCCAAACATTTACCAAAATCTTCGATTTAAGAGGGATCGAATATCCATTGACCATGCATTTATCTCTGCACGCTCTTGGTAGTAATGGCATCGGAGGGTGTAATCGTAGGGTTTCTTTGATCACCAGCTTTAAATACTTCATTTCTTCGATGTCGCCGCTATTTATTGTCTTTTTTTCTTTTAGGATTTCTCTTAGCTCCGCTTGTGCCTTCGCCATCACTCTCGGGTTTTTCATTAGCTCAGCCATCGCCCAATCTATGGTTGTAGACGTTGTCTCTGTCCCACCGCTGAACATGTCCTGTGGATAAGCGATGTATTCTCATTGTTTTATTAAAAAATCACATAATAATTATTTTATGACATGATATTCATGGCATAAAGTTTGTATAGATATAATGATTAAGATCTTGTATTTATATATTAAACTGATATATTGAATATAAATAAATATTGTGAAAATCATAACACTTCCTTCGTCTTTTATTATTATTGTTTTCATGTAGTACTAAATAAAAATAAAATATTTTTTATATTTACCATAGAATATTTCTATGTGTTATACGTCGTTTCTACATTGAATTACACATAACTGTCGAATAAATATCCTATTTAGATATTTTTATAATTTTGATACTATCAATTAATATTATTATTTTTTTAATATTTCCTCAAATATTATTTTTTCTAATAAAATATTAAATTAAACACTTACAAAGATGATGGCCTTGATGTTATCCTTAGAAATGGAGTCTTGACCATCTTCACTTCTATTAATTCTCAGCATAGCATCGACTATATCTTCCCCGCCGTATTCACCGCCCTTCCGGAGTTTATGCTCATCCACGATATCATCGAGAATGGAATCGAGTTTCCGGTGCATCCACATCAGCCTATACTTATTCAAGCACAGCAAATTCAGCAACTTCGATGATGGAAACAGATCGGCAAGCTCAAATCCGCCGGCCATCGACAGAGCCTTCTTCATCATTTCAATCAAAGCATCGCCATTGGCCGTCTGATCCTTCCCGAGCGCCGCCCGACAAATGACGGAGCTTGAAAATCGGAGAATAGTCTCCGTCAGATTGATCGCCTCTCGCGACGCTGCAAAGGATTGGACGGTCGAGATCAAATGTGAAGCTTCGTCTTCCCTAATGTAGCTGAGAAAAAAATAATAATAATTCAAAATCAAAAGTAAATTTATCAACTTGATCCAAAATGGTCTTACCTAATGTATCTTAAAAAAAATTAATAATAAATTATTGATCATAAGTCAATATCTAACTCTACATTTAAAAGAAATAATAATAATTCAAATAAGTAGAATGACTGCAGTATGCAATAGTACCCGAAAGATTTAACGTTTTTTGAACTCAGAAGTTCGAGAACACAGATTTTCCGCAGTTGTCGCCACTGGTCGTTGTAAGGGCAGAAGGCGAGATCGGAGTAATTATACCACATGATCTCGAGCCCGATGGTTTTGGGTCTGTCTGCGCAGGCGGGGTCCTGGTCCTTGAGGACCTGCTTGGCAGCCGCCGGCGAGGAAATCACCACCGTCGAGATCTCTCCGAGATGCAGAAGCAGGACACGGCCGTACTTGCGGGATAATCTGGCGAGGACCTGGTGCGGCAGGCCTCCGAGGAGGTGGTGCAGGTGGCCGATCACCGGCAGCTTTGGAGGGCTCGGAGGTAGATTTTGGGGGTTCCGGCGGCGGCGCCATGGATTGAAGATTCGGATTAGGAAGAAGATGATGAGAGGTGAAAGGATGAGAAGGAGAGTGGGGTAGTTGAGAGTGATCGGCTCTGTCGCCATGAAAGGATGAACTTAATGTTGGGGAGGTTTTGAAAGATCGAATCTGAGTATTGATTGCTGTGCATAATATTGCACATATATTATTAAGTGGGAACAGTCAGAAGATGCCCCAAATAATAATAATTATTATTAATTTATAAGTGATTTCAAATGGACAGGTTAACAACTCTACTTTAAAAAAAAAAAAAAAAAAAAAAAAAAAAAAAAAAAAAAAATCTACTTAAAATGTAGAGTTTGGGTTTTTGAGAATTATAGTGAAAAAATTGACAAATAAATTACCCTTCACACTGCTTTCTACAAAACCGTGCATAAAACTTTCTTGTTCAATTCTCTCGAAATTCACATTTACTACACACACACACACACACATATATATATATATATTAATGTATATTGAATAAATCAGGTTATTTGTCGAGCTCAAAGTACTTTTATTATTTCCTTCCACTCAATTTTATTATTTTAGTAAAAGTAATTACATTAATATCAAAATATTATTTAATTTTTATCTAAATTACAAATATGTCATTACATATACAATTATTTTATACATAAAGTTAAAGGACAATGATAAACTTATTCTTCATTTAACTTTTCGTACGTTAATTGCACATATTGACTATAATTTTGCATAGTTCCTATTTATTTTTAGTAGAATTTGATTATGTGTTAGAAATGAAAAAAATTGAAAATATTTGAAAAAAAAAATAAAATCATAATATTGGTTTCATTTAGGCATGCCCATATTCAAAAGATTTAGATAAGTCAAGACTTGAAGGTCATATTGAAAATTTTGTATCAAAATAAATTGGTGGAGCAGAAATTATAAAAAAAAATATTAAAGCTCAATTCTAGGCTTCGACGTGTTTTATCAAAAAAAGAAGAAGAAATAAAAAATACCATTTGAGAGAAAAAGCAGTAGAGGCGCGGACAGCTGGAGCGATCAAGAAATGGCTACGCAATTCTGCATTATATGCCGAGTGAATTTATTTATTTTCAATTTTTAATTATGTTTAGTGGCTAAATTTTTTATTCTAATTTAAGGTTGGATGAATTATTGGATTATGAGTTTGTAAGAAAGTTTTGAGTTTTAATGGAATCTTTTGATGAATTGATATTTATGTGATTTTTTTGCATGTAATGTTTACATTCATTAGGGTGTGTTTGTTTTGGGGGTTGGATTTTGAGTTGGGATTTGAATAGTAAAAATTTTGAATTTGAATAGTTGTATGATGTGATATAAATAGGTGTTGATGCGATGTTTTAAATGTAAAATTGATTTTTAGTATAATATAAAAAATGAAGAATAGATGTTTGATTTGATATTTTTTGGGGGAAAAAATTGGATGAATAGTAGAAATCTAATTAAATCCCCCAAACAAACACACCTATGTAATTTATTATTGTGGTCATGTTTTAAATCTTTCTATTAATTGAGTGCTAATTGAATAACTACATTTGTAATTGTGTATTTATTTGATAAAGTACTAAGTAGGTTAATGTGCTTAGCCTAAAAATTGCATGATATTATTTGAATTACGTTTTTCTCGCACTATATTAAATTAGAAAATTTTTACTACCGATGTACCTAATTTAATTCTTTCAATTAGAGAGTGGTAAATTGGTCGTACCTTTGTCATCGAAAAAGTTGAGAAAAAATGGGTGTTTAATCTTATCAATCAAACACATATAACCAATTTATCAGACAAAAATATCAAAATATCTTACGTATTTCACTAACTAACAAAATACTATTATTTTCTAAGTTATTTCGAAACTCCAAAGGACCCATTCAGATTAGGATGGAGGAAGAATTAGACAAATTTTATGTAACAATAAAAATAAAATAAAATATTTATAGTAGTTTGTCCCCCTAAATTTCAGTTTATTAATCTATTATATCCCTATTTTCTTTCTTCTATATCCGTCATTAAAAAAAAAAACAAAATTAAAGGAAGTAAACTTGAAGATGTATGGGACTTTTAAAATTTTGGAGTTCTTATTTATCTATTTATTTTATAAGAAGGACGATGTTTGTTTTGTTTTGTGTTTTTTTAAAAAATATTTAAATATAAGAAAGAAGGTCGATAATATAAAAATTCTTCATATGTTGCATTTAATTATTGATTTTGTTAGTGGACATAGCAAATATATTATTCCATATAATTTTGTATATATATATTCACTTTGTATTTTTAAATAAATATATATTTTTTATTTTAAGTGTGGGACGATTGCCCAGGTAATTAACAAATAATATCTAGAATTATTATTTTTTTTGGTATAAATAAAATGTATATATTATATATATGGTGTTTAAATATATATATATTATTTTTTTATAATATTTAATCATATCACAAAAATAGGTTGGATGAACAAATCCATTAATAATAATAACTAAAGAGTGTGTCCAAAAATTGATTCATTGAACAAACACAAGAAGACTTAAATTAGACTCGGCCGAGGGAACACAGCAACAGCACAAATAATTTATTCCTATGGTCTTTTTTATTTTTATTTTTTTTTATTGTTTTTGTTTTCAATTCTTACATTTTCTTTATTTAATTCGTCTTTTATTTTTACTTATACGAAAAAAATATATATCTCCTAATTCTGTATTTTCCATTATTTTTATACATTCGATTCAATATTTACACGGTCAAATTGGAAAATTGGAAATATTTCTTAAATTGACAGTAAAGTCTTTTAGCCTTTCAATGTGCTCTAATGAAGCCGAATGTCTGAAAAATAATTTCTAGCAACACGTTTTTCAAGCTTCTATAACTATTATAAAAAAAAATACTCTATCCGTCAAGCAACAAAGGGTTACCATTTTTATATCTGAATGTCCATTTACATGAGTTGTATTTGTTTATTTAGTAACTACCCCACTATTCATTACAAATATTTTTTAATCACATTTATTCACACAAATACTATTACATTACAAATAAAATCAAAAGGTATATTTATTTTTTAATCTAAAACTCACCGACTATCATTGTAATACTATATATATTAATCTCTATATTAAAAATAAAAATAACTCACGTACCAAATCGGAGGAAGTACAATATATATTAATATACTTTAAAAAGTAAAAAGTTTAATATAAAATATTATTTTTAATATTGTCGAATAATTTTATATACCTAAAACGACAAATTCATAAAATAAAAAAATGTATATAAAACAAAAATCACAAATTGAACACATCTGCTGGCAGACTGCAGATGATGATGGCATCTCTGGCATCTTTCTTTATCTCTTAAATATATCTATATTTTATTATATTTTTGTTATTGTACCATAATTATTGATCTTGTCTTTATCATATTTATTTGAACAATAAAAATTAATTGTTATAAATTAGTTTTGAATCAATTCATATATAATCTTTTATTGATCAAGAATGTGTGGGACATGATGATGAATGTCCACTTAAATTATTATAATCATCCCTGACGGTTTCACAAGATGTATTTTTACACTTTAAACTTTAATCTTGATCACTTTTAAACGATGCAGCGGAATGAAATGCAAACTGAATATGTTTGTTGTGATCAGAGTGACTTTGTCTGCTTGAAATTTGAAACACAAACAAGTAATAAGAAATGCAGTGCAGAGTGAATCAAAACAAATAGTACACCGAAGTTTGTTGATCCAGATCGGCTTTTAACCGGCCTACGTCTGGGGTACTAACCCAGGGCAATTCAACTATGAGTAAGGCATGAACAAAATACAAAAACCTCTCACACACACTCCACAAATCAACAACAACAAGCCCAACTTAAATGTATTGGTTTCCCGATCACATACAAGTGTATCTTCCTTCACAAAGGCAAGCATGCAAGGCCTCGACCTCCATTGGTTGTGCTCTAAAATAGGACGTTGTTGTACGAAGCTTGTCACCTCCTCCTCCTCCGACTCTCCTTGAAATCCCCTTGGAACCAAACAAACACTCGGCAGTTTGTCAACACAACAGAATGTTGTGATTCCTTCAGAATTTGATTTTGGCTTCAAATCTCCAGCAACTTCGACAGGGTTCAGACCCAATGTAATAGATTAAAATCCTCTCAGATTTCTACTTAAAACATGGTGTAACCTCCCACAAAAATCTCTCAAAATAAAAGAGAACACTCCCCTTCAACTAGAATTGAAACTCAACTCTTACACCATAGGATTTGGGCTTTCCTTTCAGTGAAGATGAGTAGAACTCTTCAAGTTCTCACTCTCTACTTAGAACATAAAAGATATCAGATTTTCTCTCTTAAAAATTATGAAAGTCTCATTTCCAAAATTTCATGGAAAGTGTATATATACACATACACAAACTCATTTCTTCCAATCAAAACTCAACAACACCAAGGACACCAAATGGTCAAATATGCCCTCACACATCTCATGTCACATATCAGACCATATGGTATGAAATTGACTTGACACAATCCTTATAAATGACATAGAGAATAGAGAGTCAAAAGTTACCATTTTTGGTTTTGTGAATATGAGGCTTTTTTTCATTCCTCTTTGACCATCTATTTTGATGCAAGCACGAGGAGCAAGGTTTTTTGTCTTTGCTTACAGTTAAGCATTGTGATAAACAATTTATCTCATGTTAGAGATTTTCAAAGGCCAATATATCAGGTTTTGAACCAAGCATCAAGAGAAGAATTGAAGACATGCAGACAACTGATTGGTTGTCTGATATGTCTGCGAATCCAAAATGGGTGGAATGGATCTTCCTTTTCTTCATCTTTTTTTTTTACTTTCCAAATCAATGCTTGCACATTTTTCCTTGTGCCTTTTGTCAATGAAACAAACAGGATTCCAACAGTTTTCCTTATGCCTTTTGTCAATAAAACAAACAGGATTCCAATTATGTTTTTATCTCTCAAAAAGACTTTTTCCAACTCAGAAAATATGTGGAAAAATATTCCACATAAGCAGCCAACGTGGACAATTTAGCAGCGACACATGCACCAGTTGGTTATCTGAACATTTTGCGGATCTCCGATACATCAAACAAAATTTCATACCAACAATCTGTCCCTCTTTGGTTGATGTA